CTGTGCGCAGCGCGCGCGCGGCCTTGCGACCCCGCGACGCAGTTCCAGTGCGCCAACCGACGCTGCGTGCCGCGCACCGCGCTATGCGACCTGCGCGACCACTGCGGTGACGCCTCCGACGAGCTCGGCTGCCACACGCAGCGCACATGCGACCTCACGCACAAAGGTGCGCTCGCTCACTGCTTGTCCGCTTCTATTGCTTCCTGATCTATTTCAATTCTTGATCACTGCACACTTTCACATTAGGAAACTTTCGAAAATATCCGGTACATTACAGGGTTATGTTTTAAATACCAAATAAAAAAGAAACGCGTAATATAGAATACTTCAAAGATAAAAATAACGAAGGTTTATTTCCCTCTACACATGATAACATAAACAATAAATTGCTTATACGATCTTAAATGTATGGTCATTATTTTTAATGACAAAGTTATTAACGAAATGAAGTAATAATTTTTTTTCAAAGAAAAAACAACAAAATTCACGCACGTAGCAGTGACAGCAGTAGGTAACACTATATACTTTAATCTCCGGTAGTTAAAAAATATCCCTACATATGATTGTGATGTTGCAGGCGGGTGTGAACAATTCTGCACGAACATAACGGGGCCAGGAGGCGCGGCGGGAGCGGCGGGAGCGGCGGCGACGCCGGGCGGCTACATCTGCAGCTGCTTCCCGGGCTACATCATCGCGGCAGGCGACAGCAAGAAGTGCGTCGACGTGGATGAGTGCGCGACCGGTGCACACCGCTGCAGTCATCTCTGTCACAACCTCAACGGTAGCTACAGCTGCTCCTGCCGGGAGGGCTTCCGGTCAGTATACCTACATTAAATATTCCCAATACATAATTAAAAATAAATTACGTGTAAATGTGATGATTCGTGCTTTCCAGATTGGCGGATAATCTATCCGGGGTGTGCAAAGCGGAGGAGGACGACGTGGTGCTGATGTTCGCTAACGGGCCCGTCATCCGCGCCTTCGTGCGGGACAACAATGAAGAGTTCGACGTCATCAACTCGGAGAAAAGGATCGAAGCCATAGACTACGACCCGCAACGAGAGATGATCTTCTGGGCGGATAGCTATGAGAAGACCATAAAGCGATCCTACATGGTGAACGCACTCGACGGGCGGGTGAAGACCGGCTTCGCGCAGGATCTGAACATGAAAGGCAACTCGAAGCCGACCGCGCTGGCCGTCGACTACGTCGGGGACAACCTGTACTGGACGGAGGCCGACCGCACGGGCTCGAAGCCGCGCGGCCGCGTCATGGTGGCCCGCAGCGACGGCCGCTACCGCCGCGCGCTCGTCTCCGCCGGCATCGAGAGCCCCACCTCGCTCGCGCTCGACCCGCAGATGGGCCGCATGTTCTGGGCCGACGCCGGCTCCGCGCCCAAGATAGAGATCGCCTGGATGGACGGTTCCAAGAGGCGGCCCGTCGTCACCGAGAACATCAGGCATCCCACCGGGCTGGCCATCGACCACGCCATGGACCACGCCATATTCTGGGCCGACACGAAGCTGAACACGATCGAGACTATGCGCCACGACGGTTCCAACCGGCGCGTCGTGATCAAGGGCGACGCGCTGCGGCACCCGCTCTCACTGGACGTATTCGAGTCCTCGCTGTACTGGGTGACGCGCGACACGGGCGAGCTCGTGCGGCAGGACAAATTCGGCCGCGGCGTGCCCTTCGTCATCTCCAAAGATCTAGTCAACCCCTCGGCCGTCAAAGGTGCGTATATTGTAGAAATTCGTTCATCCGGTTGTTCAATAATATGTTGCACACTACTTCAATATCAATTTTTGACATCGTCAGTGTACCACCCGCGGCGCTACAATTCGACGGGGCTGCGGGGCGCGGCGTGCGCGCGGTTGCCCTGCTCGCACCTGTGCCTGGCGGTGCCGGCGGGCCGCCGCTGCGCCTGCCCCGACCAACTGCAGCCTCCCAAGCGCGCCACACAGCTGCTCGCCTGCGACGCCGGTGAGCGTCTACAGCCTTGCCTACTCTTATATCTAGGTTACAAGCGTCGCTTTATTTTTAACTACATTTTAATTGCGGCCCTCAGCGGTGGAGAGTCCGCGCGCCCTGCCGCTGGCGTGCCCGTGCGAGAACGGCGGGACATGCGAGGCGGGCGGCGAGGGCGGCGAGGATGCGGTGGTGTGCCGCTGTCGGCCGCCGCTGCTACCGCCGCGCTGCGCCGCGCCCGCAGCCCCGCGCGCCGGCTCCGCGCACGTGCTGCTGCCGGCGTTGCTGGCCGCCGCGCTGGCTCTCGCCGCCGCCGCCGCCGCGTTCTTCATCATCCGCAAGCGGCCCTTGTGAGTGCAGCATCTGTCCCTACTCGGTGTCCTCTCTCGCTCGCTACATATGTAGAAGTACTCGACCAAAATTACGAAAGACATTTTTGAATTTAAATTAAAGCTTGAATTTTTATTGTTGGATTCTCATGAGAATTCATTTGTTAATTGCAGCGGCAAAGGCGTCGGCCTGGGCAGCCTGGCATCCTCGCAGAGCGTGTCCTTCCGCGCGGGCTCCAACGTGGAGTTCGGCGGCGCGGTGGGCGGCGTGGGGGGCGTGTCCGGCGGTGCGGGGGGCGCGGCGGGGGGTGCGGACGCGTACGCGCTGCACGAGCCGCGCAAGGGCCGCGACTTCAGCAACCCCATGTACGACGCGGTGACGCGCGCCGCTGCCAACGGCGACCCCGAGCCGCCCTTGCGTAAGTACACCGACCGATCTTATGTCGATTCATTTAAAAGAATACTATGTAAGAGAAATAAACCTAATTAAGAACTATTTACCGTTGCTTAGTTCATGTCCAGTAGTTTAGTAGTTGACACAGTTATTTGTTAAAAAAGACTAATTATACAACGCCGCGCCATAAAATATTTATTTCTCTTAAACAAGGGTGTCGCCAGCGGATAATATAGACCTGTCTCGAATTAACGTTAAGTAAGTCAAGCAGGGAATGGAAGAAAACAACAAGTAGTTTTTTAGTAAACATCTTAGTATTGCAAAGTTCCTTTTATATCTATTTTATATTTTTCGATTTAAAAAGGGAGAGGGGCGCTATCCTCTTGCCCCCCCCCCCATCTAGCGACGCCCATGTTCCTGTAACTACAATTCTTAACGCCACGTTAGCTTGTCAACTTACAATCAGTAAATTAAAGTTACGATGGTGTATGTCAACAGCGGGCATTTACGAAGTACCAGAAGAGGTAAAAGAAAAAGTAGGATCTGCAGTGCTGTCGCCGTCGTCGAGTGAGACGCGCGGCGCGGGTGGTGTGGGCGGTGCGGGCGCGCTTGGCGGACCGCCGGCGGGCGCGCGCGCGCTCGACCCCGCCGCAGACCTCGGCCGCGACACGCAGCGCCTCGTGCGCGAGGACCGCCACGACCGCGACGGCGACTGCTAGCAGGCCCCGCCCCGCGCCCGCGCCGCACAGCCCCCGCACACGCCCACACGACATACGCAGAGTTTACCTGTTACTTACATAACGTACTAAATACGTTCTCATTCTAATGATTCTACTATGAGAGCGATTTGCACCTTACTAGTTGCAACAAAACCAGTAAGGAAGAATAAACTGTGAAAAGAAAATAACCGTAAAGGCCAAAACCGGTGTGTGCCAATGACATTTAATATAATTTAAACCGCTCCCTGCGAGGTGCGGCTCAATTGTCTTGGTCGTAATGCTTTTGCGTCCGTGTAAATACTGCAACAATAAACAAATGTAGCGCGCGTTCCTTACGCTTAGCGTTCTGTATTTTGTTTTATTTCTTGTCTCTTATATTTGTGAATAAAATATGTTTGTTATATTGTTGATTTTGTGTAAATTCTATTGTGATGTACGCAGTAGGCGGCGACAGGACGCGGCCGACGTGTCTCGCGCGCGCTGTACTTACTGTGGCGCTCCCCGCCCCCGCCCGGTGACGTCACGGGGGGCGGGCTGGTGCGGCCCCGCCCAGTGACGTCACGGGGGGGCGGGGCTAGCGCGCCTAGACCGCTAGTGACACAAATAACTTAGTACATAAACAACTAGTTAAGGTATTGTTGTTTTCTGTAGACTTTTAAATTGATTTGACAATAAGACACACCGTCTAGAGGATAATTTATTTATTTCGTTTTAAGACTATGTAAAATATAGCTACGTTGTGTTTTATAATTGTCTATTAAATGGTAAAATTTATTAGATTTTTATATGGAATCATTATCGATTTGCCATAAACGTGTGAGATAGACTTTTTGTTGTTTTTTTAATGTTTAAAGTAATTATTGTGGTGGTCAATTGCTCCTCGTCGGAATAGAATACTGAATTGTAAATATGTGCGCTCCGGTAATACTGTACATACAGACAGGTACAGGGATACGTTGCGCGCCCTTCACAGCCCTAGGACTGGGGACCGGCACACGCCCCAACCGCAGCCCTAGGGCTGAGGACCGGCACACGCCCCACCCGCAGCCCTAGGGCAGGGGCGCCGCGCACGATGCGGAGAGGGCCGTCCCTTTGTGAATATAAATGTAGCATCACAACATTTAGTGTATGATGAACACGAAGCACATTTTATTGAAAATTTGTTATAAATAAATAGTCTATTATATTATCTATATATGTAATGTATAAAGAAAGAATAAATGTGTCAATATAAAACGTAAGAAGATGAAAATATTTTTGTATCGGGTTTATTGTAGACGTAAGTCCTCCTTCGACTTCACTTCAGTCGAAGAAAATGTGTAAAATACATTGATTACATTAAATACTGCAGTTTGATTATCCTCCGCCCCCGCCCCGGCCACCGTCTT